CCACCCTCCAGGTGTGTGTGGACCTTCTAGAACATTCTGTCTGTCCCTCCCCATGGCCACCTGTCACCCCCACCCTCCAGGTGTGTGTGTGACGACCTTCTAGAACATTCTGTCTGTCCTCCCCATGGCCGCCTGTCACCCCCACCCTCCAGGTGTGTGTGTGGACCTTCTAGAACATTCTGTCTGTCCCTCCCCATGGCCACCTGTCACCCCCCACCCTCCAGGTGTGTGTGTGTGGACTTTCTAAAACATTTAGAGGAGGAAGAGTCTCTCTGGGGCTCATGGTTTCCAAGGTTCAGTCCACAGTTCACCAACTCCCTGGCTCTGGCCCCAGGGGAGCAGAACAAGATGGCGGCAGGGCCTGGAGGAGGAGAGCAGCTCAGGACAGGGCACCAGGGAGCAGAGAGAGCTCTGCCCACCAGGGACAGGACAGAGACCCCAAAGGCACAGCCCAGGGACCCCCTCCTCCAGCCACACCCCACCTGCTGCAGCCACCACCCAGTGAGTCCATCCAAGTGGATTAATCCACTATGAGTCTACACCCAGTGAGTCCATCCAAGTAGATTAATCCACTATTATTCTACACCTCTCACAACCCAATCATTTCACAATATGGCGGCAGGGCCTGGAGGAGGAGAGCAGCTCAGGACAGGGCACTAGGGAGCAGAGAGAGCTCTGCTCACCAGGGACAGGACAGAGTCCCCAAAGGCACAGCCCAGGGACCCCCTCCTCCAGCCACACCCCACCTGCTGCAGTCACCACCCAGTGAGTCCATCCAAGTGGATTAATCCACTGTGAGTCTACACCTCTCCTAACCCACTCATTCCACCTCTGAACCTTCCTGCGTGGTCTCTCTCGTGACCTAAAGGGGGACATGTCACATCCAATCCACATTTTGCGAAACCTCCCCGACCACAAAACTTTGTTTTAGGCACAAAATTATTGAAAGTCTCATGTGGAGCTGGACGCGGTGCCGCTCGCCTGTGATCCCAGTGGCTGGGGAGGCTGAGGCAGGAGGATGGCAGGGTGGAGGCCAGCCTCAGCAATGTAGCAAGGCCCTAAGCAACAAATCCGTCCTCCCAGCACCCACCACCCACCCGCCCTCTGCCGTGGGTGACAGGGACCCTCGGGTAGCACCTGAGTTACTTATGGACACCTTCCTTCCTGCTCCGACTTGGGGGCCACCCTGACCCTCCGTGGGAGCTGGAATGTTCCGCCCACCCCCAGGCGCCCTGTGGCCACACTCTGGCTGCTGGCCTTGGGCTGTAGGGACGCGGCCGTCCCTGCCCTAGGCCCACGGTCCCTGGCCTTCCCGATGACGCCGGGTCCTGAGTCAGGCTGAGCTGCATGGTCAGGGCTGTGGTTTGCAGYGATCATGAGGACCAGGAGGGTGTGTGTCACGTCCCCGGGGACTCGGGACCTTTGACATCCTGAAAAGGTCATCCAGGACGGAGGGACTTGTCCTCACTCCCATGAGTCACTGTCCCTCCTAAGGGCCCAGGTCCTGGGAGCTGCAGGGGACAGGTGCCTCCTGGGTCCACCAGGAACACAGGCTCTTCTTCCTTCCATTGTCCCAGGGTGGAGCCAGCAGCCTGGGGACACGTGGTCAGGGCCACCAGGGCGTCCCCCTATCGTCCCTCTGAGGCCTGTGGAGGGCGGTGGCCGTGGTCCCAGCCCCCACCCCTCCCCCGCCTCCTTCCGACAGGCTTTTCCGGGTCCTGGTCCCCACGTGGCTTCTCTGTCCCTGTCCCCAGCCCTGGGCACTCACTGAGCCCAGCTCCTTGGCCGGGGTGCCTGGAGGGTCCCCGGTGTGATGGAACTACCTTCGGGTCTGGAGATGAGCAGGTGGCCCGGCCAGTCCAGCTGGGTCCTACCTAGATGTCACCCCGGGGTTCTCACAAGAGGGAGGCGGAGGCGGAACCTCAGATGGGAGGCCGGACCTGGAGGCTGAAGTAGAGGCCAGGATCTTGGAAGGGCCTCCACTTCCTCTGCTGGACTCTGGCCTCGGCAGGACGCCTGTTGGGGGGACTCCTGGCAGGGACCTCGATGCCCTGAGTGTGCCCTGTCCCTTGGGTCACCCGAGGTCAGTGTGTCCCTCTTCTCCCCGCAGCCTCCTTTTCCCCCTGAGTTATTGGTGCCTTGGCCACAGGCCGGACCCCGTGGCTGTCCACGTGGTCCCATGTCACTGCCCTGCAGCCCGGGACCCTTCTCAGTGCAGGTCCCCCATGCCCTGGGGCCACAAGACTTTTCAAAAAATTAAATTCCATAAAAATAAAAATACAAATTTTTTGGGGGGAGGGGTACCTGGGGGTCACTTGGGCCAAGGTCACTGCGCACTCCTATAGAGTCCAGTCGTGGTGGACAYACAGTGGCCTCTGGTGGCCAGCCTGGGGCTCCTGCTCTTGAGCCATGTCACCTGGGACGAGTCACTTTACCGGACTCTCCAGGTCCCCAGCCTCCGTYCCCGGTGACTGCTCACAGCCTCCCTTTGGCTGAGGCTGGCTTGGAGCTCCCGATCCTCCTGCCTCAGCCTCCCCAGCCCCTGGGATGCCCCGCGTCCTGCCAGCCTCCCTGTTCCCGCAGCCCCCGCGCCTGGGGTCAGCCACCGTCCCCACCCCCGGGCGATGACGATGACGGCAGGCTGTGACAGGGGCCACCCGTCCCCCGCGGTGGCTGAGCATCCTGCGTTCGCTMGCTCAGTTCCCTTTCCGCGCCTTTAAACGGTGGCCTCTGCCGCCGCTCACTCAGGAGCTGACACTTGGGGCTGCCCGTCCCCTTGTCCCCTTTCTCGCCAGCATGAGGCAGCAGCTCCGGCCCTGGGCCGCGGCCACCTTCCTGCTGCTGGGGGACCTGGTGGCCTCGGGGGACGCAGCAGGAGCCGCGGGTGAGAGGCTCCCTGAGCCGCGGTCTGTCCTCCCCTTTTTGGCTTTCCTTCCTGTCCCCCAGAGGGGACGGGTCCCCTGTGCCCTTTTGCTTCTGCTATTTAGAGACAGCGTGTTGCTTCTGCTGAGGCCGGCCTCCACCGGGCCGTCCTCCTGCCTCAGCCTCCCGAGGCATCTCCCACGCCCTCCTGGCCTCGCTCCTCACTTTCCCCGGAGCTCGTCCGCTGGGCAGCAACCCTGTCCCAGGACGCTGGCCCCCGGCTGGCTCCAGGACTTTCTAGTAACTTCTTAGAAAACGCTGACGTCGCTTTCTTTTCTTTTGATGCTTTGTGGTTTGCCTTCTCGCCTCTTGTCTCACGGGGGCTGCGGTGGAGCCGGGGTCGTGCGTTGGGGAGAGTTTGCACTCGGTGCTTAGGAAGAGCCGGAGGAGGATTCGGGAGGCCGAGGCAGGAGGATGGCACTCGGGAGGCCAGCCTCCGCAACTGAAGGAGGCCCTGAGCAACAAGGTCTCCGCTGCCGACCTGGGAAGTTGCTGATGGGATTCAGCAGAGCTTTTAGACACCTGCTGTATACACCATGGGGGGTCTCCTGCCATCTCAGCCGCTGGGGAGGCTGGGGCAGGAGGATCGCATATTGGAGGCCAGCCTCAGCCTCGTAGYGAGGCCCTGACTCTAAATAAAATATCATCAAGGCTAGGGATGGGGCTCCCTGGGCTCCGTCCCTGTCACCCAAATAGAAAAAGAACAAAGAGGGAAATTGAGAAAGTGGGTCACGCGGAGTCGCAGCAGCAGGTGGGGGTCCGAGGGGTCTTCGTGAGGCCGCTGGGCCTCCATTTCCATCCGCTTGACATCTCCAACATGCCCAGGGGACAATATTAGGTTTGGAACCTGAAGCCATTGGAAGTTCCCGGCAGAGGCACTGGGAGGAGGCTTGGCAGCCTCAGGAGGCCGGGGCTGTGTCCCTCAGGGTGGGGGAGAGGCTGGGAGCCAGGACGATAAGATGAAGGAGAAGCCGGAAAGTCCCACCTTGAGAGCACAGGTGACCTTCAGGGCTGGCCTGAGTCCCTATGCGTCATGCTGTCGGGGTCCGTCCCCGTTACACCGGGAGTCAGAGCTCCGTCCCTTTTCACGGCTGACTAATACTCCACCGTGAGAAAAATGACCGCCAAAGACGTGACCGTTAGCATGTCGCCCAGATGTCATCAGACCGTCAGGTCCGTCATCAGAAGCCCACGCAAGGCCAGAAAGCTCACGTTGACCCTTGGTCAACGCAGGTGGCCTGGGGTCCTGAGTGGGGCCACAAGACTTTTCAAAAAATTAAATTCCATAAAAATACAAATTTTGGGGGGGGGAGGGGTACCAGGAATTGAGGGGGGGGGGCTTAACCACTGAGCCATGTCCCCAGCCCCTTTTATTTTTTTTTAATTTAAATTTAGAGTCAGGGTCTCAGTCATTTGCTGAGGCTGGCCTCCACCTTCCCATCCTCCTGCCTCAGCCTCCTGAATTCCCTAGCCAAGTGAAGTCGCTTCTCCGTCTTTGAAAACGGTGTCAGAGCCCACGTCCCCTCAGAGGCTCCTCCGAGTGCATCTTCTGGAGGCCGTTGAAGGGGCAGGAAGCCCGCTGGAGGCCACTATCAGTTTCCAGAACTCGTTTCTTATCTCGCAAACCCGAAACTCTGTCCCCGCTGAGCAAACAAGGGGCGGTTCTTCCCCACGGCCCCGGGGGGGAAAGTGCCACTGTCCCTCCATCTCTGCCAATGGGACTCTTCGGGGACCTCCGAGGAGCTGAACCCTCCACTATTTTTTTGTTTTGTTTGTTTTTTCCGGAGCGCCTGAGCTTGTTGATGGCAGCAGTGTTTTCCACGGTGCTCGGAGGGTGCGGCTGGGGATCTTGGGGGCACGCACCCAGAGTTGATGCAGAATGGAAATTAGGCTGCACCCCGAGACACTCTCCCCGCAGACGGCAGCAGACAAAGAAAAGCCAATTTGGCATCAAAAATCGAGGCATCTGTCTCTCTAGTGGAATACAACTCAACCCTGAAAAAGGGCGCCCCCGGGGCTGAGGTGGGAGCCCGGACCTGCCTCCCCGGGTCACTGAGCCTCAGCAGCGGGAACCCCGGCCTCCTGCTTCTCTGTGGAGCCAGAGCCTCCATCTCTGCGGCTGAGTCACCCGGGCTGGGGAAGTGCCAGCCACAGGCCACTTGTACTTTCTAGGTGGGGCTTTCTGGCCGAGGCGGCTTGACATTTCCCCCAAGGTCTGAAGGGGGACCTGGTCGTCGCCCAGGGCCCAGCCGTGAACCCCCTGGAATTCCAGATCCCGGGGTGGGGTGGGGGCTTCAGGTCCGGGGCGCTCCAGGTTCCCCAGCTGCCCGTCTTGGATGGACATTTGCGCTCATCTCTACCGGCCCGGACCCCCTTCTCCAGGGCCTCACGTCGGGTGGCGGGTCCTGTGAGCCTGACACCGTGCTCAGCTGCACTGACAGCTCAACCCCAATAACCAGTAACAAAACAGACCCAGGATAAGTCGGCGCAGTAACAGAATTATTCTGAAAAACCAATTTTTCTCTTTGACTTTTAGAATTTTCACTTCATTTTTTTTTTTTTTTTTAGACTCCCGTGGATGGGTGTGACTGAAACCTCAGAAAGACAAGCTGCAGACCTGGGGGGTGGGGGGATAACCAGAAGGACTAACTTTGTAAAACAAACAAACAAAAAAGATCTTGGCTGCGCCTGCGTCCTCATAGGACAACAAGGCTGCCATTGCTCCGTGTATTCCGAAGTCTTTTTGAACCTGGGCTGGGAATGTGCTTCAGTGGCCTCTTTCTGTCCCTTCCCAGGAGAGGACCTGCAGCTGCACATCACCTGCTTCAACTTCGAAAYGGTGCAGGTCACTTGGAACGCGACTGGACACCCGGGGACCAACCTGAGCTTCTTCTACACGTGAGTGTCCTGGGGCGCAGAATCCCGTGTCCCCGACACAGGAACCGTCTCCCTTGGGCCAGAAATCCTGGCGCCCCCTGACCACGGCCGCCTGGGGCCCCTGCCCTGAGCCTCTCCCGGCTTCAGAGCGTCCACCCCGCACCCCGGGGGAACGGGGGTGGCCACGTGGGGGTCTGATTTCTGAGAACAGAGGACRGTGCTGTTCCCAGGCTGATGGCGCCGCAGATTAAGGGGAAGAGGCAGGGCCGGGGCGAGGTCCTCGGCTGAAGGGAGGCACAGGGAGGGGACCGCTCTGGGTTCCCAGGGGACCAAGGGGGGGGGGAGGGCAGGGTGGAGGTGAGCCCTGAGGCAGAGGCTAGACTCGCAGGGGACCAGAGCGGGGGGAAGCCACAGAGACAAGATCGGATCCGGCTCAGCCCTGATAACGCACGTCGCACCTGGGGACTGTCACAGCAAGTGTCCCCACCCACGCAGCTCTCCCTCCCGCCCTCGCCCTCGAGGACACGGGTCCCAGCCTCCCTGCCCAGCCTCCAGGGGGCTCCTCCTGCCTCTCCAGCTCCTGGGCTCCAGGTGGCCCTGGGCGGGTGGCCCCTCACTGCAGTCTCTGCCTCCGTGTCCACGGGGTCCTCCTCTGGGTCTGTGTCCCCTCCTCTGTCTCTGGGGAGGACACGGCCATGGCACTGGGGGAGGACGAGGTGCCCACGTGGAGTCCGAGGCCGGCCACCGCTGGTGGAGGCCGAGCTGCTCGCTGGCTGAGTGTCCCCGTCCCCCGCGCAGGTTCTCGGGGGGCCCGGGCCTCCGCCCCTGCACCAACTACACGCTTTGGCAAGGCCACACGAYGGGGTGCCTGCTGGCCGCGCGCGACGACATCCTCCACTTCTCCATCAGAAACGGGAGCCRCCTCCTCGTGTCCAGGAGCCAGTGGGTGAGCGACTACCGTAAGTGCCCAGGAGCGAGGCCACCGTCCAGTCCCCAGAGGACGCCCCCCTGACCCCCAGCTCGGCMGATGGAACCCAGGGACCCTGGACCTTTCCATTTTCTATCGAGAGACGGGGCCTTTGGCCGAGTGGCTCAGGGCCTCACGGAATTGCTGAGGCTGGCCTCCAACTGGCCATCCTCCTGCCTCAGCCTCCTCCTCCGTGCCCGTGTCCCCTCCTCTGTCTCTGGGGAGGACACGGCCATGGCATGAGGGCCCCCTGACCCAGGAGGAGCCCATCTCAGGACCCTCCACTAATGACCTCTGCAGAGACCCAGTGTCCCCTCGAGGTCCCTTTTGGGGGTGACGGGGACCTAGAACTCACCCCGGGGGGACCTCTCGACTGGACCCTGGCCCGGGGCTGAGGTCCGTGGTCCTCCTCCGCAGTGAAGCCCGCCTCCCCCAAGGACGTCCACTTCCGGTGGCTGCAGGAGGGCGTCCTGGTGTCCTGCTCCGACCTGCCCTACGGGGGCCTCCTCTACGAGGTCCAGTACAGGAGCCGCTTCGACGCCGAGTGGGAGGTGAGCAGGACGCGGCTCCGGGGGAGGGACGAGGGACGGGGCACGGCTTCCCGAGGGGGCAGTCTAGAGGCCGGGGTCCTTCCTCTCTGTGGGTCCTCCGTCTTTCGGCTGAGGCCCTTCAACTGATCAGACGAGGCCCACCCCCGAGGCTCGGCGACTGAAAGTCGACCCCGTATCATGTCGCATCACGTTCGTTATTGATCAGTAGATCAATATGGTACCGGGGCCTGAACGCAGGGACCCTTAACCGCTGATCCGTGTCCCCAGATGGAGCTTTCATTGTTTCCAGACAGAGCCTCCCTCACTAAGTTGCTGAGGCTGGCCTCCAGCTTGCCATCCTCCCTCCCTAGCCTCCCCAGCTGCCGGGATCACGGGCGAGCTCCCGGGTGCCCAGCCGTAGCCCCATTTCTGACCCCGTAAATCGCCTCTTTTCTTGAGCCACTAACGTGCCAGGTGCAGGAGGCGACAGCAAGGCGTGGGCTGAAGGACTGTCCACTGTGCACGAGCGCACGACGGACCCCTCCACACGCTGAGATGACAAGTGGCTTCCCGAGGGCCACCAAAGGGCACTGGAAGGACGTGGGAAGGCCAACCCGACTCCCACCCTGTGCGGACGGACGCACAAGGTTCCAGGGCGGAAGACCCCRGCCCAGCCCCTAACGGTGGCATCCGATCTGTCCCCAGTCCAGGGAAGCGACGACGTGCAACGTGACCGTCGGAGGGTTGGACCCCCACAAGTGCTACAGCTTCCGGACCCGGGTGAAAACCACCGAGGACCAGTACGGCCCCCACGCCACCCCCAGCGACTGGTCCGAGGTGACGCACTGGCAGAGGGCGGAGCTCAGAGGTGAGCGGAGGATATGCAAATGTACGCAAATTCGCGCAAATGAATGCAAATATATGCAAACGAATGCAAATGTATGCAAATATATGCAAATGAACCGGAAATATGCAAATGTATGCGAAGGTATGGGAAGGTGTGGAAGCTACGATGTGCAAGACCACAGATGGCGACACGGGTGTGATSGACAGCCAATGGCTGGGGACGGGGCACAGGTGGGTTAGATAGAGGGATGGGTCACAGGTTGGTGGACAGACGGACCACCGACGGGCAGGTGGACAGACCTCCTTCCCTTCGGTTTCAGACTCCTGCGAGGAGGAGCCCGGTCCTCGTCGCCCGCGGTTCTCCCAGTTCATCCTCATCTGCAGCTCGGTCACCCTCCTGACCCTGTGTCTCCTGCTGCTGTCCTTATGGAAACTGCAGAGGTAGGGACACGGCCGTCCCCGTGGTCCCCCTGCGCAGGGTCCTGGCCAGCGTCCCACGGCTGTGTCCAGGAGCCGCTCAGAGCGGGGAGGACTCCTTTGAGGGTCACTCGTGGTCAGCTGAGTCCATGGCCAAAGCAATAAGGCGGCCGSGCAAGGTGCTGCTGCTCCCCTTGGGCTGGACATGCAGCTCGGGCGGTGTGCAGAAGCCCCGGGTGTGATCCCAGCAGGACAGGCCACCTGAAGGGCAGAAGCCCCGGGTTTCATACCCAGCACCACTAGCCGAGCCGTCGACCCAGGTGGCTCCGTCTGGTTGCAAGAGTAACCGTCCACCCACACGTGTCCRTCCACTCAGGACCCAGMAGGCCATCCCTGGGGTGGGGCGGGGGACCAGGTGATTCCCCTTTGGGTCCTTCTGTGCCCACTCTCCGCGGCCCCTTCTAGCTTGAGGGACCCTGACCCGGCCCCGGTGGGGACGGTTCCAGGGGCCGATGCCCAAGGTACCATTTCTGCTCCTCGGATGCGGTTTCCATAGCAACGCCCAGCAGCAGGCCGGGCGGCCCTTCAACCTGGGGCCAAGATGCCCCCGGCCAGGGCAGGGCAGGGTCAGGTGGCCATCGCAGGTGGACACCCCAGAGACGCCTCAGGCACCGACTTCTCCAGATGAATTTCTTCCAGTTCCTTCCACGGAGGGGACACCACGGTGGCTTTTAGGGGTGTCCCCAGGACTGCTCCGCGCCCCAGCCCGTCTCACGGGCTTCTCTGTTTCATCTCAGAGTGAAGAAGCTGCTGGTGCCCAGCGTCCCGGACCCGAAGGGCAAGTTCCCCGGCCTCTTCGAGCAGCACCAAGGGAACTTCCAGGTACCCCCACGGCGCCACTGGACACGGGTGCCAGGCCCTGCCCTCAAAACCTAGGAGAGGGAAAAAAATCATTTCTTCTACCCTCTAAAGTTCTGTGACTGGGGTCTGTTAATTAAAAGGGCCAGTAACGGATGAACTAGGGAAAAAAATTCCCTATTTCTTTATATACATGTTGGGGGTTCCCCAGCCCCAACGTGGGGGGCCTGGGAGACCCTCTGCAGCGATGGTCCTCCATTTGCAAGATGCTGATGGGAGAGGACAGCGTCCCCACCGGTGCCCAGAGAGGTTGACTCTGCTGTGCTGTCCCCGAGCTGAGTCCCCGTGTCCCTTCTTGGCAGGCGTGGATCACAGACACCCAGAACGTGGTCCCGCCGGCCAAGGCGGGAGGCCTGGAGCCGGACACCCCCCCGGAGGAGGCCCTGGTCATCCACCTGCTCAGGACGGAGCCCGAGGGGCCTGCCAGCTCAGGACCCTTGTGTCTGCAGACAGGGGAGGGAGAGGCCCCGGGGGGGTCCCCCCAGCTCCCTCCCCAGGCCCCCCAAGGTGGAGACAGGGTGTTTCTGGGAGACTTTGCCTTTGTGATGAGTGACAACTCCTACATGATGCTGTGAGGTGGCCCCTCCAAGGCCACCATCCGGATCCACGCTGATGTCCAAGGACACGAGAAATATCAGGACTTCACCGGAGCCCCCTGAAGACCACCACTCACAAAGACCGAAGGGAGGACATGTCCAGGGTGCCCTAACATCCACTCCCTCCCTGTGTCCCCCCAAATCYTCCCCTTTCAACATTCCCCTCCACACATTGTGCCTTAGACCTTTTCTCATGCAACCCGGGCAGGGAGACGAATCTCATTTTTACAAAGGCMACAGGCCACCCGCGGGTTAGGGGTGCAGCCTGGGATCCCCTATTTGATGGCTGACCTCCTTTCGAGGGGTCAGGGCTGGGCCACATTGGCGACCTGCGTTGGGGGAGATGCCTATTAATTGCTTTAATTAATTAAATGYATATGAATCGCTTCCCGGGAGGGGGACTTGGCCATCTTCCCTGGGGGCCCTTGTGGACGGCCGTGACCCCAGGGGACCCTGAGCCTGGATGCCTGTCTGCAGGGCCCCTGCGACTCCCTCCAGGCCCCCAGGACCCACCCGCACCTCGGCTCCGCCCACCGAGAAGGGCGGGCCGTCTCTTGGTGTCAATCATCGGCTCGGTCTTTGCAACGCTTGCCACGTGAGCAACCGTGCATGCGGACSGGTCGGGCACGCTGTTTCAGGAGCCGTCTACACGGCGTGGCTTTGCCACCGAGCCAGGGGCGCGCGTCCTTTGGGTTGTCCCCGGGGGGGGGGGTCGCTCGTCCGGGCAGGTGCAGCCCAGGCTGGGTCTCTGCAGCCCAGAGAAAACCCTCCTCCAACAAACCCTCCTGCAACCGCGCAGGCGGCGCTGTGCCGGGGTGAGTCACCGATGGCTATCTGCCCTCGGGCCCCTCCTGTCCCCGGAGGAGTCGCTATCGCTGGTGATCAGCAGAGAAATGACTGGCAGGTGGGGCCGAAAAGCCCCGGGTGCAAACCTGGGCGTGTCCAGCCCTGGGCGTCCGTGGAACAGCGGAGGGGGGGGAGAAAGGTCCCCGGATGGCGGTGCTGTGTGACCTCGGGCCGTGTCCTGCCCTCTCTGAGCCCTGCTCTCTGTTCTCTTGGTGAACTTGTAAAGCAGGGGTCTGATGGGCAGCCGGGTGGACAGGGGTCAAGGCCAGCGTGTCCTTCCCAGAGGTTATGAAGGCGAAGCTAAGTCAGGGGGGAGTTTTGTTTTATTTTTAATTGAGCTGCATGATCTGAACCGAGTATGCACGAGTGTGTCTCCGCATGTATGCATGTGCACCTAATAGACACCTGGGTATACATATGTGGGTGTGTGCAGGAAGACACCAACGGATATCTGATGGGCGTTTTGCCTGATTTGAATTTGCTCTCGGTTTCCGTGTGTTTTGAATCGATTGAGATCAGGATCCTCTTTAGAAAAAGGGTCTGGACATTTTAGTGGGTTAAGTAAGGTCCTTCCTTCAAAAGATATGTCCACGTCCCAGCGACCAGGACCTCGGAGTGGGACCTGGTGTGGACACAGGGTCTCTGCAGAGGT